CTTCTGTTTCTGCTGCTGCTGCTGCTGCTGCTGCTGCTGCTGCTGCTGCTGCTGCTGCTGCTGCTGCTGGGGGGATGGCTTGGAAGCGTTGGAGCTGCTGGGTGCTTCTGCTGCGTCTTCATAGAACGCCTTCGTGGGGAGTGAGTTGCTGCTGCTGCTGCTGCTGCTGTTGCTGCTGCTGCTGCTGCTGCTGGTTGCAAACGCAGGGACCAGTCGTGCGTGGAATTCGTGCTGCTGCTGCAGCTTCTGCTGGACCTTCTGCTGCAGCTGCAGCACCTGCTGCTGCTGCAGCACCTGCTGCTGCAGCTCCTGCTGCACTGGGGACGCCATGGGGTTTGCGCATGCAAAGAAGTTGCTGTGAAGGCCCTGGGGCCCTTGTATGGTGGGGTCACCTGCTGCTGCAGGGGGAGAGGTTTGCTGCTGAGGAGAATCTGGCTGCTGCTGCTGCTGCTGCTGCTGCTGCAGTTGCTGACGCAGCAGCAACTGCTGATGCTGCTTCTATACGTTATAGAAGGAAGCGGGGCATCCAGCACACGAGCACACACCGGCACTGCAGGCGCCGCCGACTGCGCTCCTGCTGCTGCTGCTGCTGCTGCTGCTGCTGCTGTTGCTGCTGCTGCTGTGGAGGATCTATGGTGAATCCGCTCCCCTTGCAATCGCAGAAGCAGCACAAACTGAATTGTCTATACTGCTGACCGGGATTCGCATGCTGCTGCTGCTGCTGCTGCTGCTGCTGCTGCGGCTGCTGCGGCGGTGCAGCCAGCTGTCGATGCTGCAGCAGCAGCAGAGGCAGCAGCAGCAGCAGATAAGGAGCTCCAAATGAACCTAACCAAAGGAGAAAGGAAATATAATTAATAAAAAGAGATAAAAGAAAGATGAAGACGGCTGATCGACAGAGATCCTTGCAGGAGCAGCAGAGACAGCAGATGCATAGGGCGCAGCAGACCCAGCGGCCTCAGCAGCAGCAGCAGCAGCANATAGGGAGGGGGCTGGTGAGGGACAACTAGTGTGTTCTGGTGCAGCAGCAGCAGCAGCAGCAGCAGCAGCAGCAGCTGCTGCTGCTGCTGCTGCTGCTGCTGCAGCTGCTGCTGCTGTTCTTGGCGCTTCTACTGCTGCTGAGCAGCTGAAATATGAAGTCAGTTAAGTAACAACACAGGGAATATGCAACAGAAAAGCTTTTGAGTACTGCTGCGTCGACGAACAGCAGCAACAGCAGCAGCAGCAGCAGCAGCAGCAGCAGCAGCAGCAGCAGCAGCAGCAGCAGCAGCAGCGCAGTCGCTGTCTCGGCGACCGCAGCCGACGGTATATCACTTCAGGAGCAAAACATAAACAGAGCAAAGTCAGTTGCTTACTCTCCTCCTATTTTTATTCCCTTAGATGAAAAAAGGTTAAATATACATTGTGGTTTAGGGTTTAGGGTTTAGGGTTTAGGGTTTAGGGTTTGGGGTTTACGGTTAGCTTTGCTCCGTGCAGGGAGATACATAATCTAACGCGTCTACAGGTTAAGATGCAGGGTTTAGGTTTCGTTGTTTAGGGTTTGGGGTTTAGGCCTCGAGCTTCGTGGTTTAGGGTTTAGGTTCCAGTGTTTAGGGTTAGTTGTTTACGCCCCACTGTCTAGGGTTTAGGGTTTAGGGTTTAGGCTTTAGGGTTTAGGGTTTAAGCCTCAGTGTTCAGAGTTTGGTATGTAGGCTCCAGTGTTTAGGGTTCAGGGTTTATGGTATAGAACATAGGCTGCGAAGGGGCCAGCAGCAGCTGCTGCTGCAGCAGGGGAGCAGCAGCTGCTGCTGCAGCAGGGGAGCAGCAGCTGCTGCTGCAGCAGGGGAGCAGCAGCTGCTGCTGCAGCATCAACAGCTGACGAGGCTGCTGCTGAGCAAGGACTAGGTGAATCCAGGGGGGAAAAGCACGGCGCCATGGCCCAAACAAAAAAAAAGAACTAAAGAAAAAGGGGAGCGAGCGGTACCTGGTGATGTATCTATTGCTGCAGCTCTCGACAGCGTAGCAGCGCAGCAGCCTGCGCCTGTTTCCGGGGGCCAGTGTGCTGTGCGGTGTTCTCCTGG